GCTCGTTCGCTCCAAGAACCGGACCAGAACGTCAACGTCAACGCCAGCGCCGACGCCACAATCCACAATCCAGAAGCCACCTATAAAAGCACCGCTCGAGCCGACTTTGACTGTCATTTGACGCCAAACGAGCGCCGCATCAAGTCACCGTCGTCGTCTTCTTCGTATATCCCCGTTCCAGTTTGTATAATCGTATAATCGAGTATTACTGCCGAGTTTTTAGCATTAAGAAATGGGTAAGGCTCGCTCTGCATACTAAGTGATTGTCGCGATCTAAGCGTATACAATATATATTCATACATACATATGTCTGTACACATTCTTATATATATATTCTTCACATATTCGGTGAATGAACTCGCATACATTTCGTCGCAAGTCTCGGATCATGTGCAGCATTATGGTCACATAACCTTAGCACGCCCAAAAACTCGGATGCATCCAGTGTTTTCGTCATGTACGCGTCGTTATTTATGCATGCACGTCGCGTGGATCTTGAAAAACAAGTCGTAACATCGTTACTACCATTTCGGAGAATGTGCTCGACGCGATATTAAATATCAAAATATCATATTAAGTGGCTAAACGATCCCTGGTCGGGTGCTCGAAGATCGCATATATTCATTTCGATAAGAGCGGACGAAAGAAAGCACCCAAACAAATTTACTCTTATTGGATGAACTATTTTTAGCTCATTGAGCTGTTCATTCTATTTATACTTTTGCATTTGGGTGTTATTATTTCGCCAGCCAACTCGCTATTCATTCACTTAGACTGCAGACTCTAGACTCTAGACTGTAGATTAGATTATAGTATCTATCTCTGAGCTTCAGCCTTGAAAAATGTTGGGTTCTACATAATATCAGACAAAATGAAGAAGGCAGATAAAAGCTACGACTAAAGCGAGCTTTACAAAGGCTTCAATATTATACAAATATTTAGATATATCTTTCCAGAAGGTGTGTCGAAGAGTTTTTATATATGTGTGTTTATAATAAATATTTTTGCTCTGCACGCTTCGACACACCTCCTTGAATGAGGTCAAAATTTAGGTATTTCAATGAGATATATTTTAATTTGATAGATGTTTTCTTTTTAACTGAATATTTATATCTTACAATTGTTATATTTGTTAAATTATATAAAATATAATGTAATATATAAATGAGAATTTAAGAAACCCATTCCATCAATTGCTTATCTCTATGGTTAACATATTTTTCTCTCATCCAATATTCAATTCGATTGCTTCATTTTTCTGGCAGTGCAACATCATCTCATGTTGCTGCTGCTCCTCCTGCTGGGCGTGCCGGCCCTCATCTCGGCCAGCGAGCAGCCAGCGCGCATTGTCTGCTACTTCAGCAACTGGGCCGTCTATCGTCCAGGCATTGGTCGTTACGGGCTGGAGGATGTGCCCGCGGATCTGTGCACGCATCTGGTGTACTCCTTCATTGGCGTGAACGATGAGAACTGGGAGGTGCTGGTCATAGATCCCGAGCTGGATGTGGAGCAGGAGGGCTTCCGCAAGTTCACGCAGCTGCGACAGACGCATCCCAAGCTCAAGCTGCAGATTGCGGTGGGTGGCTGGGCGGAGGGCGGTTCCAAGTATTCGCGGATGGTGGCGGTGCGCGAGAAACGCCAGAGCTTCATACGCAGCGTGGTGCAGTTCATGAAGGAGTACGACTTTGATGGCTTCGACCTGGACTGGGAGTATCCGGGCGCCACGGATCGCGGCGGCAGCTACGGAGACAAGGACAGGTTCTTGTACTTTGTGCAGGAGCTGCGACGTGCCTTCGATCGCGAGGGCCGCGGCTGGGAGATCACCATGGCGGTGCCGGTGGCCAAGTTCCGGCTGCAAGAGGGCTACCATGTGCCCGAGCTGTGCGAGTGAGTGGCTGACTGAAGCCAACTGAGAGAGTTTGTCTAATCTCCGCTGTATTGTAAATCTTCTATAGACTCCTGGATGCCATACATGCCATGACCTATGACCTGCGCGGCAATTGGGCCGGCTTCGCGGACGTGCATAGTCCGCTGTACAAGCGCAAACACGATCAGTATGCCTACGAAAAACTCAATGTGGTAAGTGGGAGGGGAAGAAAGAGAGAGAGAAAGGGAGTTAGAGAGTGAGGCAAGCTAATTAACATTCTCTTTGTAGAATGACGGCCTGGCCTTGTGGGAGGAGATGGGCTGTCCGGCCAACAAGCTGGTGGTGGGCGTGCCCTTCTACGGACGCACCTTTACGCTGAGCAGCTCGAACAAGAACTACAACATGGGCACCTACATCAACAAGGAGGCGGGCGGCGGTGCTCCAGGGCCCTACACGAATGCGAGCGGCTTCCTGGCCTACTACGAAATCTGCACAGAGGTCATGGACAAGTCGAAGGGCTGGACCGTGGAGTGGGACGATGCGGGCATGGTGCCCTACACCTACAAGGACACCCAGTGGGTGGGCTACGAGAACGAGGCCTCGGTGCAGATCAAAATGGACTTCATCAAGGCCAAGGGTTACGCGGGCGCCATGACTTGGGCCATTGACATGGACGATTTCCATGGGCTCTGCGGCCCTAAGAATGGCCTAATGCAAATACTCTACAACAACATGCGGCACTACACAGTGCCGGAGCCGACGCGCGAGACGACGCCGCGGGTAAGTGGGCCAGCTGCCAAGTGTGCGACAGCAGCAGAGTGAAAGCTAATGAGCAATTTGCTTTGCAGCCCGAATGGGCCAAGCCACCCGCCACACCGCCCAATCCGGACGAGGCACAGCTGCAGCCGATGGCCACGACGACGCGTAAACCGAAACCGAAGCCAAAACCAACGTCAACGCCAGTCAGCCCAACGTCAGCACCGGTGCCAGCTGTGAGCAGCACCACCAAGAAACCCACCACAAAGGTGACCACACAGAACAACATAGACCACTATTTATATTTACGAATTTCATTAACATTCTGATCATTTTTTTTTAGAAACCCAAGAAGCCCAAAAAGACAACCACAACGACCACTACAACCACAACCGCTGCGCCCAGCTCTACGGAAGAGCCCAAGGAGATCGTCGATCCCGAAACGGAGGCGAACGGCGTTGCCTTCGATCCCAGCGCAATTGACTGCACCAATCGAGACTTTGTGCCACATCCCAACTGCCGAAAGGTAAAGACTTTAGTTAAGGATTTCGGGAATACGAAGATCTAAACTATATCCATATTTATTCATAGTTATACTAACTACCAAAGTATTTCTAAATATATCACAATATTATTATACCTAAAATATGCATATCTAAATATTTCCTCTCTTTCATCTAGTACTTCCGCTGCGTGCATGGCAAGCCCGTGGAATTCGAGTGTAAAGAGGGCACAGCTTTCCACACAGTGCTCAACGTTTGCGATTGGATCGAGAATAGCGATCGGTACTACTGCACTCGCATCAAGAACAAAGATCATGGAAATGAGGCACACTAGGGCCCCAACATGAAGAGATTTTCTTTACAAATCTGAAACTATTTAAAAACTATTTATTATGTTAGCTGAGGTAAATATTTTTAGCGTTCAGTGAGAGTGAGCAATAGATCTTAGGTCTTCTGAGTATTTATAAAAAAAAAGCCTTCATATATTGAAATAATAAATTGTATTACTTTTGCCCAGACGAAAGCAATAAAAATTGAATATAACATAAAATTTGCATTAAATGAGCCATAAAGCATTATAAATATACTTATATATATCAAAGATTAAAAGTAAAAAACAAAACATATATATATATATATATATATATATTTTTATTTTTTTTTTTTTTTGAAAAATGAATATAATATTATTATATTATAAATAAAGCAAGATCTTTTGCTGGTAAAAAAAAGTTATGATAACATTGGACTGCATTGAATTATATAATCTTCCGTTCGATGTCATAGCTCTATAAAAATATAATTATGAGAGACTTTAAAGCATTTTGCAGTTGTCTGAATCGATGCGTCGCCTTGGAACCGAACCACACATCCAACAGCTGTTCGTGCAATCAAGCATATTAATGAACGGTGGTAAATGCTACAAGAAATTTAATTTTCATATTTTACAACTGAATTCCCACGGTGTACCGCGAGAGCGGCCAAACGGAAGAGCGAGAGAGACAGAGACTGCACAATATTTAATCATTTGTGACAAGAAATAAATCGCAGCGCTCTAAATAGCGAATAATACATGAGATTTATATGGGTGAATGTGCCAGCTTTCACTCTACATACTATACAAACATATATTCTCTATTGTTCTCTACTGTTCTCTCTTGCTCTTGAGCTTTGAGCAATCTTTTTTAAGATAAGCAAATCCTTGTCTATAAATAAATATTATTCCAAAATTGAGAATTCAATGTGTGTTAAGGACATTATAAATAGAAAATGGAAAACAAATTCTCTAAATATAGCTGTACATTTTTGCTCAATTTATGAAAGAAATTTCGTCTAATTATAATTTGATATTGAGGGATAATTTAAGTCTTTTTCACCAGAGCTAAAAGTACTTTTTATTACAATATGTAATGAAAAGGGATTATTACTTGCAGTTCGATTGAAAGAATTTAATTTCCTTTCCTCTCTTACTCTAGCAAACGGCTCAACTGCTGCGCTTTATTTTGCCTTACAAAATGTCCCTTAAGCTTAAAAAGTTCCTTGCTGTTTCTGTTTTAGGTTGGCAACGCTTGCGTACTTCGCGTTTCAACATTTCCCTTTAATGCTGCTCTCTCCCTTTCTCTCTTCCTTTAGTTTTGCTGGTAATTGGCTTAAGTCGTGTGCTCAATCAACTCAAATTTCCCTGAACTTAAAAATTGCCCAAGCTGCTGCTTGTAGGCAAACGGCGCCGCTTAAAATTCCCCCAATCGCTCTCTCGCTCTCAGAGTCTGCCAAAGAGATAAATTTTAGTTTTCGCTGTGCTTTTGACAAGATTTTCGCTACGAAAATATAAAAATGAAATTATTTTCGCGGTCACAAGGTAAATTCATGGTATATGCATGTTGAGTTACGAATTGGTTTTGGACCGGGAGAGATCGTCTCGTATACTCGTGTACGCAATATACTTAGAATAACATAAAAAAAATAAGAAAAAACAGAAATTAATTTCTGAAATTTCTTGCTTGCTTTTTAGAAATGCCAGAAAATAGATATAGCTAAAATCTGAGCTGATTATTTCAAAAAACGAATCGCACCACGCCGTGCACAGACGACGGGCCAGAAATTATTTTAGCTGACAATCGTCGAAAGGGACACTAAGGATTACCCAGCCGACGATTGTTGGTTAAAATTTGCGAAAGGCTAGCTAACGCGAACTACAAATTTAAATAAAGCTGAAACTAAAAAAAAAAGTGAACAAATATATAAAATAAAATAAAAATCGAAAACAGTGCAAAATTCAAAAGAAAATCCACAAAAAGTGTGACAAATTTGTACGAGCCCAATTAGTTGATACATATATACATGTATATATATATATACGTATTATATATAAATATATATGTGTATATCGCTTGTAGTATATAGCCTGTTCTCGAATATGCAAAATAATCTATAGCATTCACAATTTCTTACCCTTTTCATGCAGTGCATTTAAACGAGCGCATATATGGTGGATATAAATATATGCGAAATACGAGCAAGTGATTTATAATTATTTAAATATATTTATATTTTTTCCTAATTATACATAATTACGGGAAAAAGTCGAAAGAATAAAAGGAGAATTTATGACGTGGCTAACGTGCTAACCACACTGGGAAAACTCAAGGATAATTTGTTGATTTGATTATTATGGGGCGTTTAACACTTTGGTTCCTGCTGGGACTGACGTTAATCGCCGTTTCCAATAATGGTGAGTGAGAGCTAAGGATCTATCCTACCGAAATAAAGTAAATCCATGTGTGTATTATATAAGCAAAATAACGGTAATTCTTTTTGTTGGCCCAGTGGCTAACGTACGCGCAGGCATTATGCAATTTGTAGAAGAAAATGAGCTAGAGAGAGAGAGAGAGAGAGAGAGGGAGAGGAAGAGTGAAAGAGTGTGTGTGTATGAGTGAAAGAGAGGAGACAAAAATTAAATATATATATATATATATATAAACATATATCTTAAGCGTATATTTAAAAATATTTTCTTGAGCTGTGCGAGTGTGAGTGTGTGTGTGTGTGTGTGTGTGTGTGTGTGTATGCAAACGTCAGAGACGACACTTTGAGTATGTGTACATACATATACTATCTCAATATTCGGTGGCCTAGACTCGTTGGATAATATACCCATACAGCTATGGATCGCGCAAAATACAGAGACATAGTATCATTTTGTTGGTCACTTTCTTCTTCTTTGACTTGGTCTTTCCTTTTCTTTTTTGCTTTTTTCAACAAAAATTTTGTGCGGCGAAACGCCGCAAATGTTCGCTCTTCGTTGTCATCGTTTGTAATATTTTTAAATTTAGAATTTTTAAGTTATTTTATGTATTGAGCAAGTATCTGTAGCTGCGACTGTAGATGTAGCTGTATCTGTAGTCGAGCGGATAGTGTGTGTGTGTGTGTTGGCCTGAGTATATTTTGTTTGGTTTGCAAAAGATTGCAAAAACAAGAAGAAATCAAATTAAAAAAAAAAAAAATAATAAGAAATAAGAAATGATCTATATAATGTACAAGTATTTGGGAATAGATTGCAAGCAACATAAACACAATATGCCAGCAGCCATCAAGACGGATTTGTATAAATAAATCTGTTTATGCGATAAATCGGAATGGGATGGGAAATAACTTAAATAGCTGCATATATTGTATTTGCACATAAATCAAGGGAATTACCCGCTGACAGCTGAACTGCATATCGAAAATATCATCTTGAGCATGCGCCAAAAATAAAGGCGCTAGAGATATCCTTTAAATCAAGTCGAGCCAACAAAGTTTTCCATGAGCCAACGCAGCTGTCAGCAATTGAGAAAGTAATTAGCAACGACCTTAAACGTGCCTGTCACTCAAACACACATCCCGACCTCAGATTACTTGACTAGAGAACGAAGCAGAATGGAAGGGAATATATAGCGAAGCACTCACAGTAAGAGCAGACCTTATAGACACGAACGGACATGCATAATTATAGTATATGCACGTCACTAAACTACGCGAGTACAAGAAATGGAAAGAGAAATCCAATTTGGAAAAGCTAAGATGTAGTGGGCGACTGGCCAACAAAATTATATACCCATTCACATTTGCCGAAAAGCCAGCGACTAGCGAAATGTGTTTGAGTTTTCATCTTTTAAAAATAAAATTCATAAATATTCGAACATTTTTCATGGTACGAGTGAGAGTGTGTGCATGTGTGTGAGTGTATGTATGTGTGCGTGTGGGTATATTCAATAAATAATGTCAAGTTTGAAAAGATAAAATAACCTCGGCGCTGACATCAAACACGAAGGCGGCAAATAGCAATTTTAAGGCTAGGTACAAATGAAGAGCCTCCAAAATTTTTCCAAAAATCTTATGCATATACAACGATAATGCATTGTTATATTATATACTCTATATAAGTCATGCATGATTTTACAATTAATCTGTTGTTGTCATGATATATGAAGTTATATATAATTTCTTTTTACTTTCCCTAAGATCTTTCTACACCTCTCTCAACAAAATTCCAACCCAAATATTTAATTAAAAATTCTTTAAATCAAATTCGATGTTCGATGTACAAAATTATTTTTCTCATTACCAAATTTCTTCCTTATAGCCCTTGCATGATCTTAAATTATGATATGCCAATTTGCTGTAATTACTTAAAGTTTCTAGTCGATTCTGTCATATACTCTTCTTACTGATCTAAAACTGTTTTGTAGTTGGGTTTGCCAATGCCGATGTCGGACCAAGCGAATCAGAATGTCGACCCTACATTGAAAAGGCTATAAATGAACTGAAAACAGGCAAGTTAGAACAGTCATATATCTTTTATCTTATATAACAAAACCCACCACTCCTGCAGATGGTGTCACGGGCAAGGATGGTTCTGGGGAACTGCAAGCCGATCAGCCTCGTGGGGACGATGACGACGATGATGATGGTGGGATTGTTGAAAAAGAAACTGTTGAAATTACTGATGTGGATTCCACAGAGGACGCGAAGAGCGTCAACGACCTTGACGGCGATGGCATACCAGATGATCAGGACGACGACATAGATGGCGATGGCATACCGAATGACCAGGATGACGATATCGATGGCGATGGTATACCGAACGACAAGGACGACGACATCGATGGCGACGGTATACCAAATGAGGATGACGATGATATCGACGGCGATGGCATCCCAAACACGGAGGACGATGATATCGATGGCGATGGCATACCGAATGATAAGGACGATGACATTGATGGAGATGGCATACCGAATGAAGAGGATGACGATATCGACGGAGATGGCATACCAAATGACCAAGATGATGACCTCGATGGCGATGGTATACCAAACGATGAGGATGCAGATATCGATGGAGATGGTGTGGTCAATGAGAAGGACAACGACATCGACGGCGATGGCATACCAAATGCTGGTAAGATATCGAATGATATATAGAAATCATTCGAATATACATGGGTTCTATTTCCGACAGAGGACAACGACTTGGATGGCGATGGCTTGCCAAACGAGAAAGACGAGGATCTGGATGGCGATGGATTAGTCAACCACGGTAAGTTGCATTTAGTATAGAAGTTGAAATTATGTATGGTTTTATCTATGCAGAGGACGAGGATATCGATGGGGATGGTACTTTGAATCACGGTATGGCATATGAATCCCAGTTCTACGGCTCATTCTACTATACCCCACTATATATCTTATTAATGTCTGAACTTTCATTAATTAAAAACTATTATTGATCTGAAGTATTTTCAAATACATTTACTAAAGCGGAATATTCTCCTAATTCTAGAGGACGGCGACTTGGATGGCGATGGCTTGCCCAATGACAAGGATGAGGACTTGGATGGCGATGGCAAAGTTAATCATGGTAAGTTCTTGATTCGGTATGCATTTCTCCAGTTACTTATCCAACTCTTATAGAGGATGAAGATATTGACGGAGATGGTACTCTGAATCACGGTTAGTAAAGCCTTAAGAAGATCATTATCATTCTTATGCAGACATTATAATAATCATATGAAAACTCCCATAACAGAGGACAGCGACATCGATGGCGATGGTGTCCACAATGATGAGGATCACGATGTCGATGGCGATGGCCTATCCAACTCCGAGGAGCCTCAGAGCATGGACATCGACGGAGACGGTGTGCCAAACAATGTGGACGATGACATTGATGGCGACAACAAGGTGAACGAGAAGGACGACGACATGGATGGCGATGGCATCCTGAATGAGCACGACAATGATATGGATGGCGATGGTATACCCAATGATCATGACGACAGTCGCGAGACTGTCGACGATGATGATGAGGAGGAGGAGGTGAAGAAGCGCAGCAAGCGTGAGGTGGATGCGGCGCCAGTCGGTGAAATCGAGGCACCCCCAAGTCCAGCTGAGGAGTTCCCAGCCGAAGAGGAGAAGGACGAGGAAGCTGCAGAGGCTGAGCCCGAAGCAGCTGTAGAGGAGGAGCCGGAGCAGGTCAAAGAAGAAGAGCCGGAAGTGGCGGCAGAGGCGGAGCCAGAGCCAGAAGCAGAACCGGCTGTGGCTGTCGAGCAGCAAGAGGAAGCTGTGGAGGTAGAGGAGAAGCCTGTAGAAGAAGCCGTTGAGCCAGAAACTGAGGCATCCGGCGAAGCCGAAGCTGCTGAAGAGCCTCAGGCAGACGAAACAGCAGTTGCTGCCGAAGATGCTATCGATGCTGATGATGAGGACACCAAGCCCGAAGATGAATTGCTCTGGGTAAGTGGAAAAAAGAGGCACACAAAAAGTGAGTCCATTTTCATTCGATCTATTCTCTCTATTTCCAGGAGGGTGCCGTTCCGCAGAATCGTCGCAGCCGTCAGCACATCACCGAGCTGCTGCTGCTGGACGAGGAATTCAATGCACGAGAGAAGGCCACCGACAATGTCGCTGAGATAATTCTGCGCGACATCAAGAAGATCTATGAGAACGCCATCAAGCCACTGGAGACGCTGTACAAGTATCGCGACTTGAGCAATCGTCACTTCGGTGATCCCGAGATCTTCTCGAAGCCGTTGATCCTGTTCATGGGTCCCTGGTCGGGTGGCAAGTCCTCCATTCTCAACTATCTGACGGACAATGAATATACGCCCAACTCACTGAGAACCGGTAGGGGATTATTGGCATGCGGAATGTGTGGGAATATAGACTAATTCTGTTGGGGTTTTCTAGGCGCGGAACCCTCACCGGCGTACTTCAACATTCTGATGTGGGGCAATGAGACGGAAGTGCTCGACGGCACCCAGCTGGCAGCCGACTACACCTTCTCGGGTCTGCAGAAGTTCGGCCAGGGTCTGGAGGAGCGTCTGCGCGGCCTGAAATTGAAGAACAAGCTGCTCGAAAAGGTATGCGCACTAGATAGGTAAAGGTATATATAGATGTGGGCTAGGCGCATGCACTTGTTGCCTAAGTGCATTAACTTGTCGCCCAAATAGCTTTTGGCAGGGCAGCTCGTCGATTGGGAAATATGTTTTTTGATATGCTCAGCCGTTGGCAAAATGCCCAAGAGCGCAAGATCTTATATAGTATTCTGGTTATTAAATGTCGAAAATAGCTAAACACAATGGCTAAATGTTGATGATGTAGTACACACACTTACACTCACACACACGCACTCACACTCACATTCACACTCACACTCACACTCATACTCACACTCATTTGTTAAATGAATTTTTCAATTTTCGTAATTTTCTTTTTCAGGTCAACATCGTTGAGATACCTGGCATACTCGAAGTACGCAAGCAGGTCTCTCGCGTCTTTCCCTTTAACGACGCCTGCCAGTGGTTTATCGATCGGGCCGACATCATCTTTCTGGTCTACGACCCAGCCAAGTTGGATGTGGGCCCAGAGACCGAGGCCATACTCGATCAGCTGAAGGGGCGCGAGTATCAGACGCGCATCATACTGAACAAGGCGGACACCGTGAAGCCCGAGGAGCTGCTGCGCGTTCAGGGCGCACTCATATGGAACATATCGCCGCTGATGTCGTCGGCACAGCCGCCACTCATGTACACCACCTCTCTCTGGACGCATCCCTATCAGGAGGGCGCACCAGCTCGCCTGCTGCTGGCCCAGGAGCGTGCCTTCCTGCGGGATCTGCGCACAGCGATCGACAAGAGGATCGAGCACAAGATCGCAAGCGCTCGTCGCTTTGCCGTGAGTAGAGACAGATATAATATATCCGCGATAGTTGGATGGGATCTGAATTAGATTCATATGCTTGCCTTATGTATTTCAGGTGCGTGTGCGTAATCATGCCAAGATGGTTGACTGCTATTTGAACACCTACTACAACCACAAGACTCTGTTTGGCAACAAGAAGCGCATCGCGGACGACATCATCGATCATCCGCAGAACTATCACATCTACGAGGGCTTGTCCACGTTGACCAATATCTCGCGCTACGATCTGCCCGATCCGGATGTCTATCGCGACTTCTTCCGCCTGAATCCGCTGTACGAGTTCAAGAAGCTCTCCGAGACATGCACCTACTTCCGCGGCTGTCCTATCACCAAGCTGGATCTGGCCATTGCCTACGAGCTGCCTGAATTGGCAGGCAAATACAAGAAAATGTCCGAAGCGGCGTTAGCCAGCATTGAGGCGCAGGCCCAGACGCAGGCGCAGGCGGAACCGAGCAACGTCCAAGCCGAGCCGAGAAAGACGAGTTGAGGTATTGACTCCGCCAAGGAGTAAGCCTGCCATTTAGTTTGTTTTAATGAGAGAATGATACATATACATATATATAGCGAGAGAGAGAGAGAGAGAGGGAGAGAGAGAGAGAAAATATTAGCTGTCTAAAGTCAAGTAACTGCATCAGCATGGAGAAAGAGAGCTATTAGGAACATATAAGAGAGAGAGACAAAGAGAGAAACAAATCGAGCTGCAAGTGAGAGCAAAGAATTGTTAACGTATTTGTTATCCATTGACGAACACACAAACAACAGCAACAAACATCAACAGCAACAACAACAGCGTAAGACAAAGAGCGATTATTATTTTTATTTTTGTTTTTAATATAATTTTTTTTAGAATTTTTGAAGTTTGTAGAAGTTTTATTTTCTGTTTCATCTGATTGTACTTATAATATAACCGAACTGAGAGCTTTATGAGAGAAAACTAATGCACACATGAGAGCGTAAAACACACACATACACACACACACTGACAACGTTCACCGTTTAGTGATTAATAAGTGAGAGAGAGAAAGATAGCATTGTCTTTTTTTGTAGAGTAAAATCAGATTTTTATTTTTGAACTGAGTGTAGCAAATTTAACGAACCAACTGAGAACCAATTAAATTACGAACTATTGACGATATCTAACAAAACAATCCACCAAAAACAAACCCAATCCACATTTTGACCTAGTTGTTACAACAGCGCACAATAAATTTTTTGGAGAGTTTAGCAGAGTTTTTAACAGGTTTTTGAGCAAACAAACAACAGTTAGTTTATTTTTGAGACAACCCTATTTCGATGATGTAGTTGATAAGACTTTTCGGTAAAAGAAAAAGTAAACAGTGAAGACGTTAAATCAATTTTTTTCTAATTATGCATAAATGATATAAAAAACAAATATATTTATAAAGGCATGTGAGAGATACAAAATATGTCAAATTGCTGATATTTACATATATAATATCTATGACAAACTGAGAACTTATATAAAATCAACTGTGAGAGCGGGTAAAATACACAAATAAATAAATATAATAAAAACTGAAAATACCACAAATATTCTTTTCAAAAATAAACACACCTAAGCAGCCGTTGTTTGAGTATTTTTTGTATTTGGTATATTTTATTATCTAAGAACAGCTGATTGCATGACAATATATCGCCGGCAAATCGATAACAGTTCGATATAAACATTTGCGTAAGAGTAACGGAGAATGAAATAAATAAATAAATAGCGCTGCACTTTATGCCTCATAAAACTGTTCGTAACTGAAAATGCACACAGATCTGTCGGCCCATCTGCATACTCCAGCCTGTAATCAATTAATCGAAGAGCTCAAGGCCTGTCACGATAATGTAAGTAATTCAGTGTTTGGCCACTTTTCCAACGTGCTTAACTGAGTTTTATGCATTCAGAACGCTTTTGGTAAATTTATTGGCATTTGCAACTCCATCGACGACAAGGTGGTTAAGTGCCTGAAGGCGGAACGTGTAGCGCGGTCTGCTGCGAATCGCGCCAAGGCAAGGGAACGCCAGGCAAAATACAAGCAGAAACTGGAGCAGGGCGAATCCAACTAAATAAAGATGCCAGCTATTGAAGCAGTCGGAGCAGAGGAAGATCCCTTTGAGCCGTACTACTTTCAGCATGAGGAGCAGAAGATTTGCGGCGAGCCCGTAAGCCCAATAACTGATTGGTATGACCCCAATTACCCCAGTGTGGTGGATCGATTCTTTACGCGTTACTACTACATAAAAGGTGGAGCACCTTACCAGGTTCTCTATCACTCCAATCGCATTTGCCTCATTTGCCTTGCGCCCACCCATCCCGCCTATGGCGAGGGCATCGCCTCCGTTAGCTACGATGTGGGCAATATGGATCGCAGCCAGAATGTGGTCAAGGGCAAATCCAAGAAGGGCGGCATGATTCTACAGGCGGACACAACGCTCGCCCTGCTGACCACGGAGACTGGCACAGTCTATAAAATTCCCAGCTGCATACGAGGCAAGCTGGTGGAAGTGAACACTGCTCTCCAAACGGATGCCAAGCAGCTGCATCAGGCCGCTGAGGGTGCGGGATACTTCGCCATATTGTTGCCCAAGATTGAGAACTGCAGTGATATTATATCCAACTTATTGACCCAGCAGCAATATGACGAGCAGCTGAAAAAGGGTGAAACATAACGACAATGCACACAGCTAAGACGCTCTTTGTATATTGTTTAACAATTTAAAATATGTTAGAGTGTAGCTATGCTAAAAATTATTTGCTGTATTTTCTAAAGCTGAAAAATTTGTTTTTTATTGAACTGAAATGAGCCAGCGTGAACCGCACGGCTCAAAAGAACAAGTGTGTAGAAAAGAGTCTGGCAACGCTGAGCAACCAACACGTGTGTTGACAAACAGCTGAAGTTTGATATTTATTGTGCTGGGAGCACTTCGCTGCTTAAATTAGTTTGAAAAATAATATTAGAATGTCAGCAAACAAAAAGAAGAATTTAACAGCGGCTGAAGCTGATAGCTCCAGTGAAGATGAGGATGTTAAAAACGATGAAGAAGAGGAAGATGAGGATATGGAAAGTGACGACAGCGATGGAATGGATTCTGATTCGTTCCAAGAGAATGAGGTAGAGACCCTTAATATCTCTTTTATATGAAATTACCTAATTAGCGATTACAATTGTAGGAGCTGCAAATAGAATTTGAGGGACGCACACCAGTAGATCCAGATGCGGAGGGCATTTCACAATTGCTGAAGCGCCTTCTTCCGTGTGCACAGATCAATTGTAATCAGCTGGCTGAACTTCTCATAGGTAAATTCTTAGTTCTCGATTCCGAACCACAATTACAATTCTTCTATGACAGCGCAAAATTTTGTGGGCAGCGTCATATGCCAGTGCATGGATGATGACCTCGATAGTGAAATGGAGGACATGGTCGAGGAGGGCACCATCTTTGGCATCACATCTGTGGTGAATCTAACGGCTAAAAAGGATAAGCCCGTTATAGAACAGCTGCGTAAATACATAACACAGCGCGCCGAGATGAGTGCCACAAAACAGGTGCAAGAGCAGCTAAAAAATCTGCTTGACAACGAACAACGACACGTTGGCCTTCTGATCAACGAACGCTTCATCAACATCCCAGCACAGATATCTGTGCCGCTACTGCAAAATCTGCATGAGGAAATCGAAGCGGCCAAGGCCAAGAAAATGAAGTTCAACTTTGACACGCTGCTAATGCTGGTCAAGTTTCACCGCAAGCTGGGCAAGAAGGGCAAGCCAGACGAGGATCAGTTCGTCAATGCTGAAGAGGAGCTGCTGGCCGAACGCTCCAAATTTAGTTTCGAGTTTCCGCTGAGCGTCGAAAATGATTCGCTAGACGACGGTCCCTTAAGGCCATATAGAAAACTTCTGGCGCTGGAGGCCAAGCAGCTGCCACAACTAATTAACGAAATAGAAACCTATATAAAAGAAGAATAAAATTTTGGAAGCAGTTCATATTCCACTTTAAGCGGTTGATTTAAATCCAATTGACCAAATAACAGACTCCCTTTTATATTCAATAGAAATATGTGTACATACATAATAAAGTGTATTGCTTAAGTAAATGTCGAAATGAGAAATACCTATAAATTTATAAACAAATCAAAATTCAATTGATATGAATTCATTTCAGCTTTGCATTGATTGCCATAAATTAAATCGAAAATTTTATAAATGTAGATTATACGTAACAATTAACAAACTTTAAATTTATATAGTATTTCTTTTCAAATTTTTTATTTTAAATTAACTAATTGATTTTCTATTTACGTTTGAAATATTGGAAAATTGAATTTAAAATTTAATGTAGTTGGCAACGCGACACGCGCGAACAGCTGACCGGCTTTCTTCCAGCCAACAGCTGTTTTTTTCTCATTCGCTGTGAACGTGACTCGCAAGAGAATCGCGCGGTCTCAAAGTGTTTGCCTTTGCTCTGTGGCAACGACGACGTGAGTAGCAGTTGCTTGCAATAGTTATTTTTATTATTGTTGTTGCGTATGCAAAATGCATAGGCTACAATTTCAATCATAACATACCTGCGATTAATCATAGCTCGTGCACAATGTTTTGTTTTTATATTTTGTTCGATGGGCGCGCTGTATATAAAGCCGATGGCTACGCTTTAGAATCGCAACACAACGATTCGCGCTGTTAATAGAAACGTTTTAGCAAATATCAAACATAACACAAGAGCAAAAACACATTCATTATCGGCGCCTTATCGCTTCTTCCAGTTCCAGTATTCCATTGTATTACAATTTCAACACTCGTCCAGCGCCCAATCAGTGACTCTCCACTTGCCGTACGCTTCAGTTGCTGCCGCTCTCCACATCATCAACATGGGACTCGAGAAGTAAGTAAAATGGAGATCTGTTTGCACGGAAAGTGAATGCAATTTATCGCCGCCATTTGCAAGGACCGGCTAGACTGGAAAGCTAAGCTCTCACTCTCTCTCTCTCACACACTCTCTCTGTTAAGTCACAGGCAAATCTTCCCGTAAAGTATCTTGCGGCTTGCTCAAATAATTGTTATTAACTTATCTCGCTTAACGCAATCGCAGTTATTTATTGCACTTCAAAGTCGAGATAATCTTGTTCTGGTCGCTGGCTTATCAGCAAGACGCCCCACTGTAGCAAGGCGTCGCCCATAAATCGCTTGGCACTCTCTATTCACTGTCAATTTAAAAAAAAAAAAACAAGTTGCTAGACGTGATAAAATTGCATTTCAATTAACTTTCAGCTGCTGCAATTAAGTAAATAAAAATAAATTGAATGCATAGTATATGCACAGTAAAAACTCGTCCACACGAATAAGTAACTTCTTTATTGAGCAATTTTCAATATTTTGTACTCAAACAAAACAAAATTTGTTAATTTTCATCAGAGGAAAGGTTCATCTTCTATTCTATTCTGTCTTTCTTCACTCGTTCTTACCACATATCTCCCTGAAGAGGCTAACGACCTCTGAATGGAAAGTTTTTCTTAAATTTTTATAATTTTGTTTTTTGCTTATCTTTCCTTAGACTTTTACCCTGCACCGTGAAGCTTTCCAATATTTTGGCCAAGTCCGGTCACGATGTGCTCTGTGTGATTGACCGGGCTGTGCCCGCCGAGCTGGCTGACGTCTTTGAGGAGCATCGGTCCTTCGACAAGGCTTTCGACAGCGTCGTCTCCTGCTTCAAGTCTGCGAATCTCGACGTGCCCGTCATCTATGCGCCCGTAGAGGAGCTAACGGACTATGCGGATGTGCGCAGCTATCAGAAGGCGGCAGCTCAATCGCTACAGAGAGCCATCAAGGTAGGCATATTACCCAATGGAACTGTCTAGAATATAAAACTAATCTTTGCTTTTGTCAACTAGGCTGGCTTCCAGGCGCCACTTTTGGTGGTGCCCCAAAGCAAGCGCTTTTCCCAGGCGGAGCTGTGCACGGTCCTTGGGGCTCTCGAGGAGCTTTATGTGGTATGTAAATTGAGCATCCTAAATCTTATCCATCTCTCTCTCATGCCTTCAATCCTCTTCACAGCCCATTCAGTTGCGTGAGGATGTCCCATCGAAGAAGCAGCGCATCAATTCGCTCTCCGTGCTGATCAACAATCCCAATGCTGAGAAGATCATGCAGGAGGCGTTGGTCCTGGAATCGGGTCGTCTCATTGCACGCGACATCGGAGGTGGAGATCCGGAGCGCATGGCCCCACCACTTGTGGAGGCCTACATTAAGCCGTTGTTTGCCAATCTGTCCGTCAATGTGATCGACGATGTGGACGTGATCAACAAGGAGTATCCGCTGTTCGCAGCTGTCAACCGTGCTGCCCATACAGTGGAGCGCCATCAGGGACGCATTATCTACCTGGAGTATAAGCCGCCCAATCCGGCGCGCAAGACTGTTATGCTGGTGGGCAAGGGCGTCACCTATGATACGGGCGGTGCTGACATCAAGGCCGGAGGCGTCATGGCCGGCATGTCGCGGGACAAGTGCGGAGCAGCAGCTGTGGCCGGCTTCATGCAAGTGGTTAGCGAGCTGAAACCGAAGGACATCCATGTGATTGGCGCCCTCTGTCTGGTGCGCAACTCCGTGGGCGAGGAGTGCTACGTGTCCGACGAGCTGATTACCTCGCGGGCAGGCGTCCGCGTGCGGATCGGAAATACGGACGCTGAGGGTCGCATGTGCATGGCCGATGTGCTCTGCCGCATGAAGGAGCTGGCCATCGAGGGCAATCTGCCCGATCCGCATATCTTCACCATTGCCACGCTGACGGGCCACGCCTTCATCTCGGCGGGCGAGGGTCAATCCATCATTGTGGACAACAGTGTGGCCGCCAAGGAGGATCACGCTCGCAAGCTGCAGGCCGCTGGCCAGGCCTACGGTGAACCCTTCGAGGTCTCTGTGCTGCGGCAATGCGATTTCGATTTCAATGCCGCCAAAGCCAGGGGCGAAGATGTCGTCCAGGCCAACAATGCGCCGTCCGTGAAGACTCCGCGCGGTCACCAAGTGCCCGCCGCCTTCATGATAAAGGCCACAGGCCTCGACAAGCATGGCGTCAACTCTAAGCAGCCCCTCAAATACACCCATCTGGATATCGCTGGCAGCGCTGGCGAGTATCCCAACATGCCCACTGCTGCGCCCATCGTAGCGCTGGTCAAGACCCATCTGGTCGACTAGACGAGCGTCAGCGACTCCCGAGGGGCATTTATCAGACTTATAGCAATGCGCCGTACTTATCCTTATGTAATCAATGTATGCATCACATCTATATTAATGTTCGTGTGAATAAACGCTTTTGTAACTAATGACAAACGAATTGTTGTCTAGGCCAGTGGGAAATATCGGCTAAAAACAGCATTTGTTAAATGAAATTGATACATAATCAGATATTGGGAAATATATAATATGTTGTAGTGGCTTTAAATATATTATATGTATAATGGCATCACATATGGGATCACTTACCAATGGAATTACGTTCGTATGATTGCCAAAAAATCGAAACATTACCCAATAATAGATTTAATAGGTCGAATGCTACTAAGCACTCCGATTCTCTTTGGCTTAAAATGTTGGGAGTGAGAAACTACTAAAGTTAAGCACATATCTGTAGTTTCGTTCGTTGCGTGAAGAATTATTATAAAATCCTATATGAAACTTCTAAAAACTTTATTGCTTCTATAGAATGCTATTGCTAGAAGCATGTAGCATTTCTACTCCTATGCATTTAGACACAAATGGTATAATTCCTATAAAGTATATACCTAAGATATTGACATAATTCTCATATAGCACTTATCTATGGTAGCAGCTGCCTAGACTCTTTAACTATAAATATCTCTCAGAATAGATCCGATTCCATCAATTTAAAACCCAGTTCGATCGCGGTTTGTTTCTACGATACCATATCGGCCTCCCAGCAATTAATTCCAATTATTCTCATGCACCTAGTCCAAATTAAAATGTAAATAGGGTATTACACGGTCGATTACACTCACTGGCTAAATTCTCATTTGTTATTTAATTATATTCCGCATTATATATTTTATTTGCTTCTTCTTTCCTAATTGCCAAATCGTTGCTGAATTTGAATTCATCGCGGTGTTTTTTTTGGGATTCTTCTTTTCGCGCAGTTTCTTTCGATTCATTTCGCGCTGAGCAGCGAGCAGCGGGCAGCGAGAACCCGTTAGGCGCTACGCTGCGCTGCGCTGCAGAGCACTTGTCAGCTGTCGCGTTACGTCGCATTTACCGTTATTGCCTGGCTATGGAAACTCGGTCAAGAGTGTCTCATTCATGCCGTGATTGCATAATGTACCGTTGCTCCCAGTTGCTCCCAGTTGGCAGCCAGTCGCCCAGTCCGCTAGCCAGTGTTGGCTCATTGGCTTTTTAGCCTTTTTTTCGGCTTCTCTGTTGGCATTTGTTGCTCTTGTTGTTGCTGTTGCTGCTTTGTTCTGCGCTTCTAGGTAATTTATTGACGCATGCCTCCACATTTGACAATGACAACCAGTTGCATTTGGACACACGATCTTGCATGCATGCAGCCAGCAGCCGGCCGCTAACGGTACTTCATTATTGATGAGCGGCAAATGTAAGAGACTGTCTCAGCCGCAGTCTCAGTCACAGTCTCAGCCTCAACCGCAGCCGCTGCCTCAGCCTCTGCTGTCTATGTTGCTGCTGCTGCGGCTTCCTCTTCTTCTTGTTTACTTTTTTATTTAGCCATTAGCGTGAATTTATTGGCAAGGCGGAGCGCTTTTTGCCTGGAACTGTTCTTGGCTCTGACTCCGTTAGCCGAGAGAAGGCAAGGCATGACCTGATTATGGCAGGACTGGTTTTTCGCTCCCTCTCTCTCTCTCTCTTTCTCTCCTTATCTCTCTCCATCACATCTTTCTCTATTTTTTTGTGGGCTCCAACAGCTGCAGCAGTTGCAGGGGGCGTCAAGGGGTGTTTGGATCTTGCTCTTGCTATATTTTTTTTTATTCAATGCCAGCTGGAATGCAAGCGTGAGCTGGAATTGTTTTGTATAGATGCAGATTGGCAGCTAAATGATAAAGGAATATTATAATTGTATAAATAATAATTGTATAAATAATAAGAAAGAGTAAAACAAGATTCATATAAAAAAACAATTAAAATAAAATATAGTAAGTAAAATAATAAGTTAAAATGAATTCATGGGGTCTGCTGATCCTCAGTCAAAAATTCAATGTGAGCTATTAGGAGATGCATGTATAGGTAATAAGTAGCTGAAATTGATATATAGACGAGAATTAAGCAGTCAGTTATCTCTTGCTTCAGTCAAAACGTTGTAAACTTAATGCCTAAAACAGTTTCGCACATGTCTATAATAAAGATAGATGATAGATAGATGTACATATGTATATATGAATCCGAGCAGTTAGCGTATTTAAGCATCAATAAAAATTTTAAAATCTATTGCTTATCTTAAAGTAAATATACTTAAAACGAAGTGAATATATATATACATAGAAATGCATAGGCAATCCGTGAACCTCAGCTGATGAATCAATTCACTTGACAATAACAACACCAACAACAACACCAACCACAACAACAACCGACATTAAAAAACACAACATCTTGTCAATTTTGGAGTGCCAACAGCTGAGAGCTGAGAGTTGAGAGAGCTGGAAGCTAAGAGTCGATGGCTGATGCCTGATGGCTAGCTAGCTGCTCCTGGTCGTGCGGTATGCAATGTTGATCCATAAATTCACAAAAACAGCGACAAGGGGAGCGACGGGGGCGAGTGGGGGCATTAATAATAGCAAACAACACACAAGCAACACCAAATGAGGGGGGTTGCTGTTGCAAATCTGCACCGGCAGCAGCAGCAGCAACAGCAACAGCAGCAGCAACAGCAGCAGCAGCACCAGCAACAACAACTAAAACTTGGAGCAGCAACGACAGAAATGATCTTAAATGAATGCGGAAGTTTTTCTTGGGGTTTCGTAACCAGCTACACGGCAACAGCAGCAACTGCAGCAGCAACAGCAACAACAGCAGCGGCAGCAACAGCAGCAGCAAACGCTCCCAAAGAGGTCGCAATTCCAGTGGCAGCCAAGCTGGCAGCCAAACGTTGCTACACTTAGACACACACACACACACACAAAGATACACATGTGTGTGAGTCGATTGCCGTGAGTCCATAATCATAGATGCAGCATGGGCTGCGCACAGATTGAGGCTGGACGTGAAACGCTTTATAGCCATGGACATATTAAAATTAATCCAATGATTGCAGCAGCAGCACCAACAACAACAACAACAACAAGAACAGCAGCAGCAGCAGCAGAGTAAGAAAAGATTGTTAGCCAATTTGGCCAGGCTATTGCCAAGGAGCGTGTGAATTGGCCAGCAAACAGCTGCCAACAAGTTATTTGATAGCCAAATTGGCCAAAATGAGCTTTTGGCTCCCATGTGCCCACTCAGCCGGAAGGATGCGGATGCGGCAGCTGTCCTTGCCTCAAGGCAGTTGGGCAGTTGTGGATGCATTCGTATTGAATGTCCTCGCAATTGCTGCCTCAATCGGTAAACGTGTGAAAGTCTCTCCCTCCCTCTCTCTCTCTCTCTCTCTCTCTCGCTCTCATTTGCTCTCTGTGTGGGCTCTGCGAGACAATTTTCTGCATAAACTCATAAATATGAAAAAGTGATCTAAACGCAGCGGCAGGCGCCGGCACACACAGGAACCGGGTCTGGACCAGGCCAGCAAACACCTTGAACTTGGCCAGCACGTCGCTAGCGCCTTGACAACTCATAAATTAACTGTAAATTATGAACTAACAAAAAACGAGATAAGCTGCAGTTGACTGTGTGAGAGTTTTTGCCACACCAATTTTCCTTTTGCCACCGCACACACACACACACACACACACAGACAAGCAACAACAACAGCAACAAGAGCTCATAATCCATAATATTGTGTCATGTTCACGATCAGCAGCGACATCGCCTTGGCCTCTGCACAGCCAGCGCCTGTTTTTGTGGCAAAATTATTTGGAAAAGGCAAACGAAAGTAAAAGAAAGATATGAAACTATCTATATACATAGATGTGTATGTATATGAATGTGTCTATGTGTGTGTGCGTGTGTGTGTGTTTGTATTCACCATGCAGTTTAGCCACGGTTGCAACCGCAGCCACAGCCTTAGCCTCTAATGAATTGGCCAACAGCCAAGAACAGTTTATTTAGCCACATGACGAATTTTTAATACTCTAACAAAAGCATAGATAGGTGAGCAAGTATATAGGGACTAGATCTGAATCCAAAGCAATACGCCTTTTGCTGCTTATGTTCGATTTTTATTAAGACTAAGTCGAAGCCTTGATAAGTTGACAGGAGAAGGCTAAACTTAATTGTCTATATATATTGATCAAAACCCTATAATCTTCGGTCCATTAAGAAGTTAGGGCTTTGAGCTAAAGTCTACTATTTAGCTTAAGGTTAAGTCTAAAGCGAAATATTTTATGTGGCTTAGCAATTATAATTAAAGTTGTAAATATTCTTTAACTATGTATTTATATATTAAATAATTTAAAAATAAAATAATCATTGAGTAAATTCATTTATATTTTTTTTAATTTAGTGTTTTATTATTTTTATTTATTTTTTTAATGCGAGTACAAGCGATATGCATAATAATTATAATTTATAATAATTGATTTTTACATTTAAAGTTGTCTTTAACAGAGCCTTAGATTGGTAAGATTGATAGAGGGAATATCCTTCATTATTTAAATATTTTCAATACATATTTTCGAAATGTGCGTTACATTTTAGCTGTGAAAGTGTTGATGGTCCAGAGAAAGGGTATAAGGCAAAAAAGAGATAATATAAATAATAATAAAAGTAAATAAATATAAGGGGCTTGAGCCAAAGTGCAGCGCGGCGCTGTGCGCAGTTGGCTCGAGATTTGTACGTTGGCCTCTTTGAGTTAAATGTGAAAATCAACAGCAACAACAACAGCAACAACAACAGCAACAACAACAAGCGCAAAACCAAAATGAAACGAGAAAAAAAAAATTATGAATTTTTACTTTCACCGCATGTGGCATTTTGTTCAGGTTTTGTTTTTCGCCCGAATTTGAACTTGAGGCGGCAAATTGCGATTGTCAAGGCTGTCGGCGGCCCAAAGGTTAGTTCAAGGTGTGGTCCAACCAGATAAGACACGGATAAAGAGTCACGGCGCGTTTAGGGCACACAGCTGAGCGCTGCTGATGAAGATGTTTGCGCAGATAAAATTAACACATAAACACAAGTAAACACACACACACACACACACACATGCACACGCATGCACACACACTCGTACATGTTCACGCAACATGCAACATTTCCGCATTGGCCGCAACACTCTTAAGCGACAGCCGATGGCGCTCTTAGGCCAACAGCTTTTCGGTTCGCTTCGAACGCCGTTCGAGCTTAAAGTGGTTCGAGCCAGGTTGGCTGCGTTCGTGTTCGTGTTCGGGCTCGGGGCTCGCGGCTCGGACCGCTCTGTCTCTAAGCTTCGGCTTTTCGATCATGGCAGTAATACGTCACTAGGGTGAACGTACCTCGCAGATGTTAGTGGGTCACTATTTGTACGGTCAACGAACCTTTCGGCCCGTTTGTAAATATAAAACGAAAAAGCGACACACAACGAGCGGGCGAGCGAGAGAGACAGCGAGAGAAAGAGTGACAGAGAGAGGAGAGAGGGAGTGCGAGCGAGCAGAGGAGAGCGAAAAGCTGCAATGAAATGGAGGATGCTGCTTTGTCCATTTGTTGGCTTGCTGGCTTGTTTGCTTGCTTTCTTTCCAGCCAACAGTGCATGTGTGTGTGTGTGTGTGTGTGTAACTTGTTGTTGTCTTGACTAACTTGACTGGTTGCAGTCGTAATTTACTCGGGCCTATGCCTTGAACGTCAGCCACAAGCTGAGCGGAACGCGTCTCGTTGATGCATCCTGCTGGACACCTCTAACCGCAGCAGCCCCCTGACTCGCCTCCTCGCCGCTGTCTGTGTGTGTGTGTGTGTGTGTGCAGCCCTAGCCCAGTTTGTTTTTGTATTGTTGTTTTGTTGTTGCACCCACTTTGCCCTCTCAACTGCCAAACAAGCAACCCCTTCGGCACCCCTCGCCACCTTCCTCCCCCCGTGCCCCTGTTGCATTGCATTCGCCTTGTGTTCTTATTATGTTGACTGCAAACAGGTCTGTTGCTTCTCTCTCGGCTTGGCTTGGCTTGGTTTGGTTTGGTTTGGTTTTCACATGATTGTCATCATCATCATCATCATGATCATCATGAGCATCGTGGTCATCATTAACCAAGCCAGCCATACATTAATATCGTCATCTTCCAACGAACACACACACACACATAAAGTGATCCGTTCACATGCAAGTTTTGCCGGCTGCTGTTCGATTTGTGTCCGTGTGTCTCTCTCTATGTGTTTGTGTGCGTGCACATGTATAAGTAAGACCATAGAAATGCATTTCCGCATATTTTACACCACTAAAAAGTCAAAATAAAAATGGTTTGTTTACTCTTTTGTGTGGAGTGGGCCGTTTCGTTCGATTCGTTTCAGCCTCATCTTCAATTCTGTTTGTTCTCCTCCCCTCTCCAAGTCCCGCCGCCGTTGGTAATTGATACCATTATCATTAGCTCACTTGCAGCCCGTAGCAGTCGTCGTTGCCTTGCCGCCTTTATAATGAAGTAATTACCTTCATGTATTACAAAGTATTGTTAAGTATTATCTTCATTTTATTGTGTTTGTTTTTTCTCCTTTTCTTTTTTTTTTTGCAACAATTTTAGTTCGTTTATCTGCAGAACAACACATTCTATAGCTGATAACATGCCAGTGAACTCGGCTCTGGCATTTTTGTATAACTTTATTTATATCATTATTAATGCTAATTTCTATAAGAGCCATAGGAATGGGCAAATTATTTTAATGTTGCGCTTGGAGCTATTTTGGTTTATTTTTTTATTGTTATGAAATAGATATACGCTTTGCTTAGCTTTCGTTTATGTTTTTGAATAGACTCGGTACCATTGTATTTTCGATTTTATAAAGCATTTTAAGACTTGTTTATAAATAGATATTGAGATATTTATATGGCATAGTATGGCAAATGGGTTTGACAGGTTGTCTAAGTCTACTTTAAGAGTGGTTGCTCTTGTATTATTACGGATATACCTGAGTGGGAAAAGTTTGGGCAATAAGCTCAACTTTTTAAAGTTATATCATTGTAAATATTTTTAAGTTGAAAAGTTAATATAATAAATATATAAAAATAATTACTAAAATCAATTTTTTTTTTTAAATTATCATTCGAGAGTTTATTACAATTATGTAAGTAAATGAAGATAGTGGGCAAAAAAGAATTATTCCAATTTTATATATTTTATACTAGAATATTTATACAATTTTTCGCATATATCGCATTTATAGTTTTCGAGTAATGCTAAAGGCAATAACTATATCTCACACAGATTTTGTTCATTCTATGGAAAATTAGAAAAGTTATTACCAAACAGTTATTATATTTTGAGTTACTGTGATTAGAATAAAATGTTTACAATAACTCCTTAAAACTATGTATAAAAATAATAGTTTCTTACATATATTTTTTTTGGTTTGCCCAAAGCGTATTTAAATAATCTGAAAACATTTACACAAACTTGTTCGCTGCATATATGTAGCATAAGTGTAGACAGCGCTTGTGGCTTTATGGGGAGCTCGTACAATGATCGCCAACATGCTCGGTTCGTACAACAATTACAATAGGAAGAACAAGCAACAAGAGTTATATGATAAAAAGCTGCTGCCCCATCTTGATCGCAAGCGGCTTGCGACAGAGTGGGGCATGACTCTCTTGCTACAATGTTTCTACGAATTTTGTTATCAACAAAAGTGCACGATCATGCCAATAAAAGCGTAGCTGAGAATGGGCCATGGAATGGGCCAAAGGGAGCTGGGTGCGGGAGGGAGGGAGGTAGGTAGGTAGGTAGGGAGGGGCTCGCTCTGGGGCTGAGGCTGAGACTGAGACTGAGACTGAGTTTGGGTTCGGCATGGTAACAAACTTAATGCAACTCGCGTTAAAGTGTCAAT